AGCTGTGTCTGTGAGAGGGCAGAGAGGGGGAGGCAGGTGGGTGAGGCAGCACTTGCCATCAGGCTCACCTCTACAAGGAATGCCAGGGCAGGGAGCTCCCAGTGGGGTTCCTCCCTGCTGAGCAGCCTGAGCAGGTGAATTGCCATCTCAGAATGGAAGGGGACAAGGACACGTCGCATCTCCCTGTCAGGAGGAGAAAAGGAGCCATCGAGCTTGTGCCAGGCAGGCAAACCTCTCCAAGAACTGACTCCCAACGGCCTGGACTTCCCCCAGTAGCCCTTGACAGAACAGGGGTGCTTTGGGAGGTAGCTCCTCCTGTGCACCCAGCTCTCACAGCCATTTCCAATCTGCTCAGCCATGTGGCCCACACCCACAGGGGTTGTGTGGGGTTCCCCATGCACAGGGGAGAGGCAACAGGCACAGTGGGGAGAAGGGTGTCTCACCTGGCCAGCAGCCCCACTGCATAATGGTGGGTGTCTGAACACAGCAGTGTCTCCCAGCCACACTTCTGTTCAATGGCCACCACCTCATTCTCCCATTGCAGGCGGCAGAGCAGAGCCTTCAGGGTCTGTACTGCAAACCTGTGTGCAGAGCAAAGGCCAGGTCATGCTGGGAGCCCCGGCCCCAGTCCTGAGGGCATGGGAGGAATACAGGACAGGGATGGAGCACCTGCTGGGGTTGGCGGGAAGGCCATGTTCCTCCTGGCACTGCCTCCAAAGAGCATTGACCTCCTCTGACATCTGCTCTGTGCTCATGGAAATTTGGAAGAGCAGAGACAAGAGGAGGTGTGGGGCATGATTGATCATGGCCTCTTCGCATTCAGGCTCCTGGATGATGTGCCACAGTGCCAGGGTTGCCTGCAATAAAACCACATAGAGACAGCGCTCAGTGTGAGATGTTCATGTGGCAGGACCCGAGCATGGGAGGGAGAGGCCAGGGGAGTCCCAGGGGGAGCAGCCAGCCTGGTGCCCCTGAACCTGCCCCTCAGCCACATGTGCAGCCCAACGCCTGAGGCAGGGAGATGCAGTGGTGGGGGAGGCAAGTTGGGCAGGAGTACAGGCCGATTCCAGAAACTCACAGCCAGGGCAAAGATGCCTGTGTTGTTGTCAGCATCAGAGGTGTCAGTACTGTGCACTGGCCAGTCCTGCATTGCTCCAAGCAGTGTGGGCAGCACCTTCTCCATTGCTGTTCTTGAGGAGGCGATGCTGCTCCACATCACTGCAGCAGCTCTGTGGAGACACAACTCTGGGTCAGGGGGTCTTGGTTACAGTGCCATGGCCAAGGCAGCTGTGGGGGCCCAGGTGAGAGAGCCACTGTGCCTCGAGGGACAGGGAGGGTAAATGGCAGCTGGACTGGGGGCTGACAGGCCAGGGCTGGGAAATGGAGGAGTCAGAGTGTTCTGGAACTCTCCATCTGTCTAGTAGACCAGGTAGGTCAGGCTCTACAGGGTGATAAGTTCTATGGGTTGGTGAGCCCTGAAGCCACCAAGGCAGCTGAGCCCTGTACCTGTCACACTCTGGGGCACAGCCCAGCAGAGTCATCACAACCTCATGAGGGTTTCTGTCAGCGAGCCTGTGGATGTCAATGTGCTGCCTGACATCTGGAGACAGGTGGAAAGTGAGGCACTGGTGGATGTACCTCACAATAGCTGGCACCTGGAGAAGGAGTAGGGGAGAGTGTGAGAGCTGCCAGAGTGAGCAGGTTGCCCAGCTTCCCCCAAGAAGTGCTTCCGTTCCCACCACACTGTGCAGCCTCAAAGGCTTAGGGGACCCAGCAGACCCAGCTTGAGGGGCCAGAAGACTCCTGGTGAGCAGAAGCCCTGGGCACAGGCTGCTTGCCTGCTTGATTCTAATTGGAGACACCTTTCTCCTCTAATGAGCTCAGACTGGCAGCTGTATTGGATTTCTGTGGCCAGGCCTTGGTAGTGGGGGCTCTACAGGGGTGGCCTCTCTTAGAAGAAGCTGCTCGAAGCTTCCCCCACATGGCAGAGCCAATGCTGGCCGGCTCCAGGACGGAGCTGCTGCTGGCCAAGGCCAAGCCACTCAGGAATGATAGTAATGCCTCTGTGATACCATATTTAGGAAGGGAAAGAAAACTATTCTGCAGATGCCACTTGCAGCCAGGGAAGAATAGAGTGAGAACATGTGAACCACGATATAGAAATCATAGATGAGAAGGAGGAACTCTGGGTGCCAAAGCTGAGCTTCCCCTGCAGCCTGTGGTGCAGCAGCTGTCCCCCTGCAGCCCATGGAGGAGCACCGGGGTGCAGAGATCCACCTGCAGCCTGTGGGGGAGCTCCCGTGACAGTGGGTAGATGCCCAAAAGAGGCTGTGAGCCCATGGGAGGCTCATGCTGGAGCTGGGTCCTGACAGGGATGTGCTGCACATGGAGAGAGGAGCCCACAAAGGAGCAGGTTTCCCTGGTAGGACCTACAGTGGAGCAGCTTGTTCCTGAAGGAATGCACCCCATGGAGACACCTGGACAAGAGGCAGCCAAGACCCCTGCCATGGGGACACCACAGCCTTCAAGTGCTCACCTCTGCCCCACACTGCTTCTCATCATCCCAGTGGAAGAATGGGAGCAGGACCTGGCACACCTCCGTCTTTCCCTCTTTCGCTACCAACTCCATCACCTCTTGGAAGAGGCAAATGGAGAGCAGCTGCACATGGCTGTTGTCCTGGTGCAGAAGAAGACAAAAAGATCTCAGCACTGGCTGCTCCAGGCTCACCAGGCACAGGCCTGAAAATGCACAGGGCACAAAGTTCCCTGGCAGTACCAGAGCCTTACATTGTCAAACAGTGGCTGGAGTGCCTCAGCCAGCTTTGGAGCAGCGCAGCCAAATGCCTGAAGATCTCCATTCTGGAGCACATTCAGGAAGACAGAGAGGGTCATCTCGACCAGCTCTCCATCTGCCTGATACAGCAGCTCCAGGAGGTTTTCAGCCAGGCTGCAGATGCTGTCGGCCTGTGTGGAAGGAACACAGTGCTGTGCTGTGAAGCCCTGAACAGCTGCCCCACCAACAGCTCTCTGGTGCTGCAACCCCACATTGCTGTCCCGGGGCCAAGAGGCAGAGGGAGGCAGGAGAGCTGGGAGCAGCTGCCACAGCTCCCAAAACCCACAGCCAAGCCCAAGCTACTGCACTCCCCAGCCCCAGGCTGCCAGTGTGGTTTCATCCGGGTGTCCCTTTCTCACCATTGAAGGATCCACACTGAGAACAAGGAGCCCTCTCAGTGCCAGGCGCCGCCGCTCAGAGCACTGGCTCTGCAGGTTCCTTGAGAGGATGGGCAGGACACTCTCACAACACTTTCTCCCATCCAGATAGTCCAGGACCTGGAAGGCAGAGAGCAGTGACAGGGTGGCCAGGCAGCAGGAGCGCAGAGCCACCCAGGGCTGTGCCCAGGCAGCAGCACAGGGCACAGGTACCATCCCGGGCAGCTGTGGCTGCGAGAGGGCAGAGAGGGGCAGGCAGGTGGGTGAGGCAGCGCTCTCCATCAGACTCACCTCTACAAGGAACGCCAGGGCAGGGAGCTCCCAGAGGAGCTCCTCCCTCTTGAGCAGCCCGAGCAGGTGGATCGCTGTCTGGGAATGGAAGGGGACCAAGACACGCCGTATCTCCCTGTCATGGGGGAAAAGGATCCATGGAGCCTGAGCCAGGTGGTCAAAGTTCTCCAAGAACAGACTCACAGAGGCCTGAACCTTTCCCACCAGCTCAGCATGAGATGTGGGTGCTTTGGGAGGTAGCTCCACCTGTGCACCCAGCTCTCACAGCCTTTCCCAATCTGCTCGGACATCTCTTGATGCCAAGGCCCTCTGGTCCACGGCCACAAGGGCTGTGTGTTGTTGCCTGGTGCCCAGGGGAGAGACAACAGGCGCAGTGGGGAGAAGGATGTCTCACCTGGCCAGCAGCCCCACTGCATAATGGTGGGTGTCAGAATAAAGAAGTGTCTCCCAGCCACGCTTCCGTTCAACGGCCACCACCTCATTCTCCCAGTGCAGGCAGCAGAGCAGAGCCTTCAGGGTCTGTACTGCAAACCTGTGTGCAGAGCAAAGGCCAGGTCATGCTGGGAGCCCTGGCCCCAGTCCTGAGGGCATGGGAGGGAAAGAGGACAGGGATGGAGCACCTGTTGGGGTTGGCGGGAAGGCCATGTTCCTCCTGGCATCCCCTCCAGAAAGCATTGACCTCTTCTGGCATCTGGTCTGTGCTCATGGAAATTTGGATGAGCAAAGCCACAAGAAGATGGGGGACATAATTGAAAACTGCATCTTGGCACTTGGGCTCCTGGATGATGAGCCGCAGTGCCAGGGTTGCCTGCAATAAAACCATACAGAGATAGTGCTCAGTGTGAGATGTCCATGTGGCAGGGTCTGAGCGTGAGAAGGAGAGGTCAGGGGAGTCCCAGAAGGAGCAGTTAGTCTGGTGCCCCTGAACCTGCCCCTCAGCCACATTTGCAGCCCAGTGCCTGAGGCAGGGGGATGCAGTGGTGAGGGAGGTGACCTGGGGAGGAGCAAAGGCCATTTCCAGAAACTCACAGCTAGGGAAGAGACGTGTGTGTTGTCGCCATCAGATGTGGACACGTTGTGCACTGGCCAGTCCTGCATTGCTTCAAGCAGTGTGGGCAGCACCTTCTCCACTGCTGTTCCTGAGAAGGCGATGCTGCTCCACATCACTGCAGCAGCTCTGTGGAGACAGAGCTCTGGGTCAGGGGCGTCTCAACCACAGTGCCACAGCAGGGCAGCTGTAGAGTCACTGTGCCTTGAGGGACAGGGAGTGCAACTGGCAGAAGGAAGGGGGGCTGAGAGGCCAGTGCTGGGAAATGGAGGGGCTGGAGGGTCCTGGAACTCTCCATCTGCCTGGCAGACCAGGTGGGACAGGCTCTACAGGGTGATGGGTTCTAAAGTTGCTGAGCCCTGAGCCACCAAAGCAGCTGATCCCTGTACCTGTCACATGCTGGGGCACAGCACAGAAGAGTTGTCACCATCTCACGAGGGTGTGCCTCAGCCAGCCTGCGGATGTCAGTGTGCATCCTGACATCTGGAGACATGTGGGATGTGAGGCGCTGGTGGATGGACCTCACAATGGCCGGCACCTGGAGGGGAAATGAGGGAGAGTGGCAGAGTTCCCAGAGCAAGGAAGTTGCCCAGTTTCCCCCAGGAAGTGCTTCCCTTCCCACCATACTCTGTGGCCTCAAAGGCTTAGGGGACGCAGCAAACCCGGCTTGAGAGGCCACAAGATCCCTGGGGCACTTGAGCCCTGACCACAGGCTGCTTACTTCCTT